CAAGTCTCGATTATAAGGAGCAATTTTGAAAGTGATAACTGGCTTTCGCTTGACATAGCAAAAGTAACAAGCGAAGCCGTCCAATATCACAAAAGTCTTCAATTTTGTATTGAGGACACTCTAAATACATTTATTACATCAATAAATTTCATCACTTAGCGTCCTCCATAGATTAGCGTTCCTTGGCCTCCATTTTAATTGTGAATACTTTATCTCCGTTTTATTGAATCTCAATACATTGTTTCTAGCCTTTTGTTTCATTGCATCTCACAATTTAAACTTTCTAACAATGGCAGTCATTTTTGACGACACGGGTACATTAATAATAATATAATAATTCACTCATTAGTACATAAAGTTTCAGCTCTTTCAGCGTGTGTGTATGTGTGGGTGGGTGTCCAGTTCAAATCCCAGTAGAGATCTAAAAATCTCTAAACGCCATGCACTAGTGGGCTAAAGAGTTTCAGCATCCCTGCTTAGTGGGAGTTAATTAAACCAAAGAATTTATTTTTAAATCTACAGGATCGCCCTAAAATTTGAACTATAATTTAGGTTGATATTAATTTTACTTTTTAAGAAAATAAAAAAAAGGATGTCAACTCAAATGTATTCACTAGAAGAGATTTATAGTAATTATGTTTATATATACATATATGTTTACATATACATGTATATATTTATATATATATTCTTTATATAAACATATATATATATGTTTATATATATATCTATGTTTTTACACACACACACACACACACACACACACACACACATATATATATATATATATATATATATATATATATATATATATATATATATATATGTATGTATGTTTATGTGTTTTATACATGTTTGGAATGAAGAGACATATAGTGGTACAAAAGGATGTGTGTGTGTGTGTTCGTTTATATATGGGATCGGATTTCCTACATTTTTCAACCGATTTCAACAAAACTTCACTTTTTTGGCAGGTAGTGTTTCTTATTGTCTTGCACACTTTTTTCTTTATTTTTACATTCAGAATGCTTTAAAAATTCCATTTACAAGACAATTGTTTATAATAAAATGCTATTCAATCGGTAGACTTATAACGATTGAAAACAATGTTTTTGTTTGAGTTTGGGTTTGACCAATTCGTAAAAAAAACAAAAAACAAAAAAAAACAAAAAACAAAACAAAAGTAATTAAGACATGCGTGTCCGTAAACCTTAAACAATAATCTTTGTCAATTTTATTTTGCAATCTTCATGATGGTCGATACTTGATCTATCTCTTACTGTTACATCCCCGGGCAACGCCGGGCTCTACTGCTAGTTTGCTCTATAGAGCTTGCAATTCAGCTGCTGGTATGAAGAGCCACCTTCGAAGTCAATCGAGAGGAAACAATGATCTAGACTGAATATAGGTGTTGATGGACAGGACAGTAGTAATCTGTGAAGATGGGGCAATCAACATATACATGTTTATATTTATATGTCTATATGTTTTTATCTTGATATATGTATCTGTATGTATATACATTCGAGGCGGTGTAATGGTTAGCAAGCTTGTCTTGCTAGAACAATTATGACTGAATAGTGAGTTCGATCCTCATTGGGTACCCCCATACATTCGGCCTTGTGCCACATCTAAGCTACAGTTGTAAAGTTTTGCCACAATTCCTGTATATTTGGTAATCTCTCTCTCTCTCATATATATATATATATATATATATATATATATATATATATATATATATATATATATATATATATATATATATATATATATATATATATAGTTGGATTGATCAATCCAACTAAATATGTTAGCTCTATCGCTATTCAATACCGCGCATAAATAATATATATAATAAATTGCTTATACATATATGAATAACTATATATATATATATATATATATATATAGTTATTCATATATATACATATGTGTGTGTTTTTATGTATATACATGTTTATTTCTATATATATATATATATAATATAGATAGATAGATATATATATATGTGAGTGTGTGTTTATATACAGTTGGTATAATCTCCTCATATTTGGTGTTGTTATCACAAATATTTCGAACGTTGATGACTTTGGTGACTTCATTCCCTGGAGTGTGTAGTAGTAGTGGAAACAGAGCAATCAATACCTGAGCAGTATTAAAAGAACAAAAACCAGGTATCCTTACAAATGGACAGCGGAAAAAAAAAGTCTGTCCACTAAGATTTAAATAAATTGTTCAGTTCGAAATTCTCTTGAAGATGGACGAAATGTTCAACGGCCGAAACGTTGTCATAACAACAAAAGAAATGAGGACATTAGTCGTGGCTGTAAATAATGTAAACATATTGTGTATGTTGCGTCTGTGTTTTTTTTAAACATTCGACTGTGGACATATGGTCTTGTAGATTTTACAATTGCATAAAAGATCTGACTGATAGTGATTGTCAAACGTTGTATTGTATCTATGTAACATTAAATATAAACTTTGACCTAATGAACAGGTAGCTTTCTGTTACAGAGCCTACAAAAACCGTATTCTTTTACCTGATACCAAAGAAAGAAATAAGCAGGTAATGTCGTTTAAAGCTGAAAGAGCAGTCGACTTGCAAATAAGCGATACTTTATAACAATGCCACCTATTCTTAAAAAAAAAGGTTATCTTTTTCCGAATTGCTGAGGAAGATATTGCTTATTTCCGATGTTAGCTTTGGAGAACGAAATATCGTTATTGTATCAAAAGTAACAGTGTTCTTTTGTTTCCTGTCTATGCGAAGAGTATAAAAGATGGTGGGGAGGGGTCTTTAGGGACGCCAGATTAGTATTACTTAGTCAATGTATGTGTGAGGGAGTCGCAGGTCATTGGGTTGTGGAGAGGTCTTGCTGTTACCGATCACTAGGGAACTGCCTTGCGGCAATCAGACCAGGTTGTCAAAATGGCGTCGTCCATATCAGATAGGCGCTCAGGTATACGGGATTTAAGTTCAAATTTCGTCAGAGGGTACGTCTTTATTTCCCATCCATATTGCTTACTTTTCCATTTAATGACTCTTGTAAGCTTCTACATGAGTATAATATCTATAATAGAATAAATTCGACATTCGTCTATAATTTATAATGTCATAGATTCTATTATAATATATATATATATATATATATATATATATATATATATATATATATATATATATATATATATAATATTATATATATATATATATATAGAATATTATATATATATATATATATATATATATATATATATATATATATATATATATATATATATATATATATATATAACAGAATATATATATAATAGAATATATATATATAATAGAATATATATACATATATATATATATATAATATAATATATATATATATATATATATATATATATATTATATATAATATGTATATATTATATATATATATGTAATATGTATATATATAATGTGTATATATTATATATATATGTATAATATGTATATATATAATATATATATATATACATATAACATATATTATACATATAACATATATATGTATATATATATGTGTATATAATATATATATATATATATATATATATATATATATATTATATATATGTATATATATATATATATATATATATATATATATATATATATATGTATATATATGTATATATATATATATATATATATATATATATATATATATATATATATATATGTATATATATATATATATATATATATGTATATATATATATGTATATATGTATATATATATATATATGTATGTATATATATATATATATATATATATATATGTATATATATATATATATATATATATATATATATATATATATATATATATATATATATATATATATATATATATATATATATATATATATATATATATATATATATATATATATATATATATATATATATATATATATATATATATATATATATATATATATATATATATATATATATATATATATATTGCCATCCACAGAGAGACTGTTTCGCTGTAACGCAGCTCATCCGATTGATAGACATCGGATTGCCTCAAGCCAGGGTCGAATTTGGAATTGGCATCAGTCTTGATGGCTACTTGGTCAAAAAAGCATTTCAACACATGAAACTGGGAGAAAAAATTCGTATAAAAATGTTCTTCATTGACTTAATGGTCGACTTAAGCTAGCATAATGTACCTTTTATTCATTAGTTCGTTGGACTGTGGCAAAAGATTCATTTATACAGTTGGAAAGATCACGCAACGGTTGATAGCTGATAGAGTTCAGTTCAAACGTGAGACAATCCACAGATATCGGTACAGGAGGAGGGTGTATCGAGGACACTCAATTATGAACTGAGGTCGTTAGGTTGAAGAGGCTGATAGGATCCTGCCGTGTCGAATTACTTGTTATAAAGAAAAGGATACAAATGAATTAAGGTATATTAACATTGTATTTATTTTACTACGGGTACATTAGCGTATTGACATTCGCTTTTCAATAACGTTAATATGAATAGTGTAGCGTAAATGGAATTGATGAGCCAAGATCAAATTCTGATACATTCTGTTTCATTCACTCTATGTCAAGTCATTTGGAAAATACATGAATCCATCGTCTTCTGATTATGGAATTTAAAGCAAGGTAGACAGCGATCTCTTGTCTTGAATCGCAGCCAGTCTAGGAATATGGAGATTCTGTATTCAAAAGCAGTTTCAACAATGATGGGTTTCATCAAGATATCTTGTTCTATTTATACTCACAGATGCTACGACTTAGGGTAGGGTTCATCAAACCTTTTAAACCATAAACCACACCCCATAGAATCTTTGATTCTTCATCGACTCCCAGAAATCTGCCAAAAAAAGAAATGATATTATGGTCTGTTTTATCTAAGAGCATAAATTATTTTAGCATTTCTTTCATTATTTTTTCGCATGACGTTTTCAGTTTCTAATACTCTTCTTGCAATAATAGGCACACGACCACATCACGTTGAAACACCGCTTCCCGTGCGATCAACGAAGTTAAGCAACGTCGAGCCTGGTCGGCATCTAGATAGCTGATCGCTTGGGAATATCAGGTGCTGTAAGCTTGGATGTGCGTGTGGTGTAATGAATAATGACTTGGAATTGTTAATCGAAGAACCGAGTTCCAATTCTACCTAGGTTTGTTATTTTCACCTACGCGAAAATACCCAATGGGAAAGGTATGGGTCCACCACTTCTCTACCCCAGCTATGGGTTAAATATGAAGACTTCTATCATTAAACCATTATTATCTTAAAAAAGAAATTCGTACAATCTAAGAATATTTTCTGACTTTAAATAACCTCCAAAGGGTTGATAAGCCGTAAACGAATCGGGCAAGCAACTATTTCATGACCAGCGAAGACATTAAAGATGGGCGTTTTAACCGAAAAAAAGACTTTTTTTTCCGTTTCATCTTCACATCTTGACGAATAATATTGCATTTGAATATTTGGAGATTATTACTATCAGGGAAGCAAGTAATAGGAAGGGAGTTCCACAGACAGGAATTGCGAGACATAAAAATATTGGATTAGAAGAGATGGCTACATTTAACTGTTTCCACAGTGAAAGGGTGGGACTGAGGTTCCTACCTAGTAGCACGTTTAAATTCATGCAGTTTAGTGAAAGTAGCTCGTCGGAGCAGTTAGCGTGAAAGTATTTGTAGAAAAGACAGAGGGAAGCGACAGCACGTCTATGAGAGAGCGACTGCAAACGAGATGCCAGATCAGGGCCAATCATATTGCATATCCGTCTCTGGATTTTGTCAATGATCTTAAAACAAACAGCGGGGGCTGCAGACCATTCATGGCAGCAGTATTCCATGGGTGAATCGAAACATTAATTGTAATAAATAAAATCAAATGTACATTACTCTTGCCTCTCCTCTTAGACTCACAGAGAGATAAGCTATTCTTCAATAGAATTAAATTCAATATTAAAATCAAGTCCCCTGAAAAGTTGATCTCCGTAAGACTCAGAGTTGAGACAAGATCAGTGAACATTTAATCTTATTTATTACCATATATATATATATGCTTGATCTAACCATCGAAAATAAAATTAATTAGAGCTAAACAGTTTCCAAATCGAATCAAATAATTCTTCAATTATCTTCAGGGCATACGCTAACCCCGCGTACAAACACGGATTTTAACTCCAGTCGTCGTTGGCCGACGTCAGTGAGCAAAGAATTAAGCGTAAGCCGGATAATAATATTATATGAAATGTCTTGGAGGGCGAATTCTTTAACATTGATCATAAGTTTCAAATCTACGCTTGCAGACACATTCACTAAAATAATAATTATTTTTAAGTGTGTGTTTAATGCAGCTTGAAGAACTCTCTGAATAATCCAAACTAAATAACTATCCGTTTGGATTTTATCCAGAAGAGAACTGAAAGAAAACAAAAATATTTACACGACCGACTCACAGACAGAGAGACACAGAGAGAGAGAGAGAGAGAGAGAGTGTGTGTATCTATTGTGAAAATATATAGAGCAATATGTGTGTTTATATATGATATGAATTTAATTAATATATATATATATATATATATATATATATATATATACAAATGTAAAAGAAAGAATAAAATTCCAACGTTCAAAACATTAATTTAAAACAGGGCTCAATATAAGAGTAGAGCAATAAATATTTATTATAGACAGTTATCAGGTCATCCCATAAGTTCTCTCCGAATTTTAACTTTTTGTTAAAATGAACGAAATTTAAAGAGTATTTTATAATGTCTAATGGAGTTAAACATTATTTTTATGTTTAGTTGCATTTAAACTGATCAAATTTTATTTCAGAGAACAATAAAATTAAATTTTATTTGATTAAAACCCTGCTAACATGGAAGTACCCAAGAATCATTTGAGGCACATAATGCTTTATGAGTTCAAGAAAGGAAACTCAGCAGCCGAAGCGGCTAGAAACATTCACTCAATTTATGGAGAGGATTATGTGAATGAAAGAACTTGCAGAAGATGGTTTGCAAAATTCAGAGGTGGAGATTTCACCCTTGAAGATGAAGATCGAACCGGACGTCCAGTTGAGTTTGACGAAAAGCTTCTTGAAGCAGCCCTTGAAGAAAATCCTGCTTTATCAGTTGAAGAATTGGCGGTGGTTCTCAGTTAAAACCATACAACTGTTCATCGTCATCTTCAACAACTTAGAAAAGTTTCTAAACTTGGAAAATGGGTGCTTCATGAAGTGTCTGAAAACAACCTCAAATCCCGAGTTGACATCTGCTCTTCTCTCCATTCTCGCCAACTTGTTTCACCTTTTTTAGATAGACTTGTGACTGGCGACGAAAAATGGATCTTTTATCGAAATGTTAAGCGTCGTATATATATATATGTATGTATATATGTATATATATATATATATGTATATATGTATATATATGTATGTATGTATATATGTATATATATGTATGTATATATGTATATATATGTATGTATATATGTATATATATATGTATATATGTATATATATATATGTATGTTTATGAATATATATTTATAAGTATGTATATATATGTATATGTATGTATA